CAGAATAGGCCCTAAAAGTGAGCTCCAGATGAGATGGCTTAAATAAATATGCCTCCACCCCCTGCCTAAAAGTAGGCAGTGATCATGTTGGGGGTATCTCTCTCATGAGCCCATTCCACAGATTCTGGGTGCCACTACCAAAGGGGCCTCTGTCAGGTACACACCTGCCTCGTCTCAGTTGGTGGCAGGACCCACAAGAGAGCCTCTGAAGTGGAACAAAGTGGAGCCTTCCTTTATCAAATATGGTCCTGGGCATATGGTGGGAAGCTGGGCTCTGATAGATGCTGATCCCAAAGCATTTTGGGCAGAGTGTGAGCAGGAGTACAGGGAAACCTCATGGGAGTTCGGCCAAAACATGTCACTCCCATGCATCCCTGAGCTTTGATTCCTAACCATTCATAATGGGATTTCTGGCCCAACACACCATCCAGTAACTTTCTGTCTCTATGCCGCAAGAAATTAGCAATGAACCCGAGGTCTCTTGCCACTGTCTGCCATTCCTCGGCTGGGAGTCTCATTTTTATCATACTTTTACTTCCCACTTCCTCCAGGGAAGACACAGCAGCATACAGGGATCTTTCCCCTTTTCATTTTATCCTCACAATAATTCAGTGAGATAAGTTAGGGCTAAGGATTGCCCTAATACCTTCCTCCACCTCTTCCTGCTTTGCGGTGGAGTTCAGGAGCTGTAGCTTCCATTTGCTGATCAGAGCTTGTTTTGTCACTCAAACCTGGGCAAAGCGTGGCTAATATTAACTATGTTTTGTTGAAACAAGCCAACTTCAAACCTTGTTTCTTGAAGTTGTCTTGCTTTGACACATGTTGAGTGTGGTGCAGTGGTTAAGGGTGCAGACTTGAGACTCAAGCAATCTGGATTCTAGTTGTGCTAGAGCAGGGACCAAGAATACTTGACCTCAAGGCTGATTTGTAAAGCAAGGCTGGGCAACCTCGGCCTGGAGCAAAAGCCAACCTTCCTGCAGTTCCAGTTCAGCCCAACAGAGCTTCCCTGATGGTCCTTTCTCCCAAGCACTGTTCCTTTGGTCATTTTTGTGGGTTTTGTGCAGTTTTTCCCATTCTAGAAGGATGAAATGCCTCTCCTAAGGCCAAGTTACTGACAGTAAGAGCTTCGAGCTCAGGGCAGAGGCTGGCTTTTTAAAATTTTGGCTCCACCCCTTTGGCCTGTGGCCCCACCCACTGCCAGAATGAGGCTGTTGACATCTTCTTTGTCATTAAATCTGGCTGTCAGTCTGAGAGAGCTCCCCACCGTCTGCTGTAAAGTTTAATCGTGGTATAATATTGCTTTTGGACACAGTGATTTGACTAGCCCTGGTCATCCAGCGCATGTCGGGAGCCAGGGTTCCTCCTTTGCACATTCAAGAGCCACAGACCACTTTTCTTGCAGAGTGGCCTTAACTGACCCCAAAGCACAAGTCACCCAGAATGAATCTCTAAGCATGTGCAGAGCGGTTTGTTGAACTCAGTTCAGTATTCGCCTTCAGGAACTCCACTTATGAACATGCCTGGCCTTCTGAAAACAAGCACGTCTGCTCTCTCCATGCTGATCCTCTGACTGGGCTGCCTTCCTCTGTTGACGTCGCATCAGGGGGTCAAGGGCTGGGACTAGCTGGCCTGTGACTGAGAAATTCCCCTGCTCAGGGACCCCTCCTGCTGGCTGGATACCTGGGTTATTTCCAGGAACTGCCGGCCCACCAGGGGAGCCTGGCTTTGAGATAAGCGCCTCCGCTTCTCTCATCTCAGTGCCCCAGCATGGCTCACTTTTCCAGGCTCTGCCTCACATTCTGATTCTGATGAACTTCAGCCAGCAGTCCCTGAGAATGAGCCCCAAAGTCGCCATCCTTCTCGCTCCCCACAGTGCACTTCACAGCCGTGTGGAAGTCTCCGCAGCCCTGGCCTGACCCCTCTTCCTTGTGCCATGGTGCTTCTGTGTGAGCTCAGAAAAATAATAGCATCTCGTCTGTCAAACATTTTATCAATCTGATTCAGTGGATCGGGAGTCTAGAGTTAAACTGCGGATCTGCTGAATTTCAAGCGCCGTTTTTGTTATCAAACGTATGCCTCATTCTTTTTGGAGGAAACCCAGCACGACTTATGCATGCGTTTCAGGAAATCACCCACCCAGACTTTCAGTAATAGCACTAGATCATATGAAGGCCATCTCTGTTCTATCTCTTTTTTTCCACACTTGTGGGATGTTGACTTCTGCCCTATTTTTCAGTCCAGCTCAGCTGTTGTTGCCCAAACAACCATGCTTTCAAGAGTCAAAAAAGGTAGTGTTTCATCCAGTTTTTTAATGATTTTTTTTTACAAAAATACAAAATAAACCCTCTTGTAAAAAAAAAAGGTCAATAACAACCTAATAAATTGAAAGAAAGATAGGTACCAAAATATACAAAGTTAAGCCTTAAAAAACTTTTACAGTAATACACAAAATAAAATCTGGAGGGAAATGGTAAAGGCTTTTCTCTACACCTACCAAGCTGAATTGGACTAAATAAAGATGACAAGGGGGGCAGGGGGGGCAGAACACTATGGCCAAAAAGAAGACAGAGAAGGGTGTCAGACAGAGAGAAAAGGAGGGGTTTTGCTTGTATTTTGTATTTTCAGTGGCTTTGCACAGATGTTTGGTTTTGTTAAGGGGTTGTGGAAGTCCAATAACATTATAAATAGAAAAAAAGGGAGAGGGTAGCATAAGCAAATGGAGAAAGGAGTGGCATTGAGAGGGAAGGAAACAGAGGCAGCAGAAAGGGAGAGAGAAAGGGATTTGCCATCGAGAGAAATGAGTACAGAACAGAGGGAGAAAGTGGCAGCCCTGAGAGAGGGAGAAAAGAGGTGGCAGAAGGAAAGGGGACACAGAAGGAGGCGGGAGAGGATGACCCCACTGGCTTCTCGCTCTGGTTTTGCCCCTCTCTGCTCCAGCCCCCAGTTGGCTTCTCTGTGAGTCAATAGCCTTTCATAGAAAGATGGTTGCCCACCCCTGTTACATGGTGTGAAGACTCTCCAAGCTGATATACTTTTTTTCTAATGCCCAAGGCACTGTGCAGGTAAACTCAGTCACTCAGCGAAATCCTGTAGGAGAAAAGTTCGGATGAGGTATTTGACAGGGTTCGCATATGCATGTCCATCATGAAGACCACATGTGGAAATGGCCAACAAGGAAGGGGCTCCCTTCCTTATTGTGATTTATTATGTTATCTTCTACATCGCAGTGAATGCAGTGCTGTTGCTGGGGTTGCTTCGCCCATTGAACTGCTAGTCATCAGGTGGACACAGCGATCCAGGTGCAGACAAGCAAGTCAATGGCATCCAAGTATTAAGGCTGAGTCACATGGAACTCCTCTTCATGTCCGGGTGCAGTTCCAGACATCAAATTATGAGTAAGCATTCTCATTGTGTTCCTTTTTTAGTTCCTTTGATATATTCTTTTGTTCACAATTCCCTTGCAAAGACAGCTCTGTCTTTTTAGTCCTTCCTGAAGCTCCAGAACATTACAAAACATCAGAAATAGAGAATAAGCCAGAACTCATTGTCCCTTATTAAATAGTATATAAATTACCCATGTAAATGTCACTATGACATACACTGTTTCTATGCATGGCATTTTACCTTGATCCCAAACAAAAGGGAAGAAAGACTTCCAGGGCAGCTTACACAGACGGATAACTTCCTCACTTGCCCGCAGGCTTACAATCTAAAAGTCATGAAACAAAAGGAAAACGGATTGGGAGGAAGGAGGGGGAAAGGCGCGCAGAGGCGCCCATTCCCAACGTTGTGCTGCAGCTGAAGTGGAAAAGGCTCAGGGAGAGGAGAGTCCGGAGAAGAGGGGACTTGCTTCCCTCCTCTCCCTGCCCTCAACCGGCCCCCTCAGTCGAGCTGAGGGTGACCCCCCCCCCCCCAGGTCCCTTGCTCCCTCTGCCGTAGCCTGATGGAAAGGCTGTCAGCCCCATTAATTAGCACTCGCAGGTGTGTATGCAGGTACTTTAGATACACACAGAGAGGCAGAGTGTGGCAGCGGAAGGCACCGGTCTGGCCCTGAAGAAGGACCTCGGGCAAAGGCAGGGTTGCGAGGAGTCCAGCTGACCACAGGCATTCAGGCTAGTATTACAGGCAGAGCCAAATGCAACGGAACCGGAACCGGGGAACTCGGAGTGCGTCCATCAGCGGGGCTCTGCTGCTGAAATGGCAGCCCTGCGTGCCAGCAAATCATTCTAGCCGAGCCATAAATATCCTTCCTTGCTGCCTTTAGACAGGCTGTGAACCTTTAAAGAAAATTTGGGAGAGAAAGAGCGCTGTTGCCTTAAAGCAACATGTGTTGCTTTAAAGAACAAATGAGAAAGGGTTGTTGCTTTTAAGTGGGAAAATGGTTCTGGAAATTGGGAGAGGTATTTGTGACATCGCAGGTGAGGCTTTGTCATGGCCAGGCACAAGCAGGCAAGCATGCGTACTCAGCCAGTCCCTACTGACAATTTCAAGATCATTTCCCCCTGCAGAACTCAGTTTCGGATAGGGATACATTTGGACTCAATGAGGTGGGGTTACTTCCAGACCCAAGAGGAAGAACTCCACCCTCATGGGACAAATGCATCCAGGTGACCCACTGACTCACTGGGGTTTCCCAGGCAGCCAGTTCTTCTGGCCCCTTCCCTTTCCCCTTTTCCTCCTCCTGCTGCCAGTCATTCGGTGTTTCCCAGATTTTTTTACATCCCCCCTATCCCCATTCCAGAAGGCTTCAGTGCATCCTCTAAGGCTGGTGGTAAGAGCTTTAGGCTAAACTAGGCTGGCGTTTTGGCCTGCCCCGTTTTCCTTGGGGCCTGCCCCCCTTTCCTTGCCGTGCAGCCGCCGAGTTCCGTAAGGCTGAAAGAGGATCACGACCCCAGCTCAAGATGCTGCACCTGCATTCCCTCCAGCCCCACTGCCCTGCGAAATCTGCAAGAAGGCCTTTGGTGTGAGGGAGCCATCCACACCAACTCCTTGAGCAATCCTTAAGTCGGGAATTTCTCCATGAGAAGCGAGAAGTCTCTCACCGTCCGCTCAACCCACTGCCGGTAAGAGTCGCATACCACGTAGCCCCGAATCTTCTTCTCAAAGGTAGTGGCTTCAATAACCTCTGGCGTGAGCAGGTCTGCCACAGGGGTTGGCGGGACACCCAAGGCGGTCATGATGGAAGTCAGGTTGCTGAGCAGGCCTTGGATGCGCAGCCGGGTCACTCGCAGCATCTCCAGCAGCTCATCTTTGCCGTCACTGATGTGAAACTGGTCATCCCAGACCAGCTGCAGGAACTCAGACAGAATGGTGTAGGCCTCGTAGTTCTTGTCCAGACGCTCCGTGTCACTAAGAGTCCGCCATTTTAGGAAAGGGATGGAGGCCGTTGGCACTCCTTTGTACTGCACCTTTGAACTGCTGAAGCCCGGGTCACTGAAAGGACTACCTTGGTGACTCAGCTGGGAAAGGGGAGAGAGAGAGAGAGAGAGAGAGAGAGAGAGAGAGAGAGAGAGAGAGAGACCTATAAGACCACAAGAGTATAAAAATCCGCTTGGCTCAGACCAAAGCCTAGCTTGTCCAGCCCCCATTTCCCCCAGTGGACAACCAGCTGCCCATGGAAGTTTCTCTTCTTGCTGGTGCCAGAGTGTAGGACACAGAGTAATCAATTCAAGTTGCGACAACCCAGATTCAAGCTGGGTTTATCTGTTGTTGTAAACTTCCTGGCTTGGCAGCTGCGTGCTGAGAAAAGCTGTACCTGCGGAGCATTTGCCAAAGGCACAAGAATCCTACCCAGACAAGAAAGACGATGAGTACCTTCCAGGGGTTGCGCTGTTCCAGCCCTTCCCCAAGTCCAAATGGCAGGATTTCAGAAAGGTTAAGCATTATGGGCAGCTGGCAGCAGTGCGTCAATAAAGGGCCCTGGAGAGCTGCCAGCGATGCCCTCCTGCCTAGTCATCTTGCAGTAACTCCGGGGGTGGCACCCACCCTTCCCAGGTTCCTTCATCCCTCTGGAATTCCTCATGGGAGGGCCAGAGAAATAAGCCTCTTGTTGTTTTCTGGCTCAGCCAACCGCAGTTCCATCAATGCGAATTTCTCTTTCTTGCGGATCTTCTGCACCTTGACTGCATGCCAGGACTCGGGGTTGCGATGACTTCATTCCCTTTGGCATCTTGTGCCCGGGCAGGTTGCGGGAAGTGGGGCATGGGAAATGCTTGGGCACCCAGCCACTCTCTGCAGGATCAGAATAGAGGCAAAGGAGCGGATTGCAGCTCCGGGGTTGCAGGGGGGGGGGGGGGGACAAACAGGTTCCTCCTCTCCCTCGAACACCTTGCAGAGCCAAGCGCCAACAGTGGGGCCGAGGGAGCCCCGGGCCACCTTTCCGTGCTGCTTCTTCGTCGGTGATTCAGGTGTGCAACTAGCCAGAGGGCGCTGGCACGGCCAGGTATGGCAAGAGCATAGTTTCTGCTCTAGGCATTTCTCCAGGACCTTCCCGTGTTTACCAGGGACTAGTAACCCATGAAACAGCCTGCTTGGTGAAATTGCTTGGAGGTTTTTGCTAGCCCTGCTTTTTGTTTTGTTGAGCTTGCATGTAGAGCTGGGGGGAGAGGCAGCTACTCAGCACTCAGGGTAGAGCTAAGCCAGGGGCAGTGCACGGCTTGTGGACCCCATGACCTATTCCCCCAAAGGTATGCATGACGGTTCCAGATTTAGCTTGCTTGCAAGTTAAATTTGGCCCCTTGGTCAAAAGCGTTCAGGTCAGCTTGTAAATTGGCTAAATCACGGCGCTTTGTAGAGCATTTGCTGATGAGATTTGATGGCACCAACCATTCTGGTCTTTTATGAAGTGGGGGCTTCTGAGGCCTGTGGTGGGGTCTGTGGATGAAAACAACCACCAGACCAGATCTCTGGAAGTCGCCCTGTCCTGCTTTAGGGAGAGGATTGGGCCCCTTTCCCTTTCCCTCACATCAGCCCCCTTCTCTCTAAGAGAATTTTCGCCCAGGAGCCTTAAAGAACAGACAAGGCTGTTCACCATAACCATTGCGGTCAAGCGGTCAAGTCCGTCGTGCAAAAGTGGCCCTGAGGCCAGAAAGCTGCCTTGTGTGACAAGTGCCCACCTCTGATCTCTCTCCTGCCTAGCACACCCACTTTAGGTCTCTCCTCCAAGAGCTGATCCAAGCCAGCCTTCTGCGACCTGGTGCTCTCCAGATGTTCTAAACTGCACCCCTCGTGATCTTCAGCCGGCTAGGTCCAGTCCCCAGCAAGCTGGCTCTTGAAGTTCAGCACATCTGGGGGCACCGGGTTGTGCAAGGCTGGTCGAATCCTTCATAAAAGTGATCTCATGTGGTGATACCATTTGTGTGAACTCTGATATGCTGTTTCTGTCAATACCTCCCTGTGGATTGAGCCTGAATGCAAGGACTCTTAATACATGCTGGGAATAACAATCAGGGACAGCTGAACACCTTGATACCTGGCTTGTGCATTTTCCCAAGGCACCTGGCAGAGCCTGTTCAGAAGCAGAAGCAGCACTTGATACAGTGTGATTTGCAATTGCTTATATTCTGGGAAAGCTGGGAACTGCCACACTCTTGGTGATCAAGAGCAAGGGGGTGTTACCTCGTGGGTCTGAGTTGCTGCACTCTTGATGTTTCTCGCAGACACTCGACCCTTCACCGTTAGTGGTGCGGAAACACTCTTGCATGGACCCCAACAAGGAACATCCAAGGAATTCCAGGCAGAGCTGCCCTTGAAAAACACTGGCAGAAGAGATACCCATTCTGCACCCTCAGATTCTGCAAGGTGAAACTCTTACATAGGTGTTCAGAAGGACGGTGGTGTTGGCTTTCAGGAGGTGGACCAGGTTGAAGGTCTGCGCAATTTTGGTGTTGATAAAACAGTCTGGATTAGGAGATGCGGCCTGGACCAGGGCTGCACAAAGGACCCAGAGGCTTCTCACTGAAAAGGAACAGAGGAAATCTTCATTGTCAGTTCCAGGTCTTCGACGGGGCAGTTCTCCAACAGGGCTTATCTCCCCCTGGCCTCTCATGGCCCTCCTCCTCTGAGCCCAATCCCAAGGGAAGGGCACAGACCCTATTCCCCTCTTTGCTCACTGCCTGAACGCTCAGAGGGGGCTGGAAAATGGGCAGGGACAGCAAGGAGGAGGAGGAGCTGCAGGAGTTTGGTCCTTCACGAGTGCCTGAGCTGCTGTAATAGTCTTGGCACCTCGATCCCCATTTAGGATCTCCGTCAGAGCAAAGAGCTGAAGCAGACTTAGACTAAGGTTTGTTCTGGCCCAAAGGAGCCTGCAGTTTGCCACAAAGTCTCCACTGGCCACGCTGCAGACCTGTCCTGCCTTAGCGAGGGTCAGCCTTCACCGTAGAGCACATTTGATGGCAGATTTGGGATATTCTTAAGGAGGAGCAAGTTTTCCATTATTCCATTTATAATTCTATTTTCGCTGCCAGGTCGAAGGGGAGTTGCCATTTGGCAGTTCCTCTTCAGAATGCCTTGCATCTTCGCTGGCATTAGCATTCTAAACAACCACACACAAACACTGTTCAGTACATACCCAACAAGTGTCAGACTTGTATCAAGGAGACCCAGACTCAAATCCCCCGAGACATGAAGCTCGCTGGCCTGGCTTACCTCGCAGCCTAACCTACATCAAACTAACCTATGTCACTGGGTAATTGGGTAGGGTCGATACCCCAGTGCTCTGAGCTCCCTGGGGAAAGGACATCATGAAAATCAAGTACATTTACAGTGAAACCTGCTAGCAAGCATGAGTATTCTCTTATCAGGAATCCAAGATGCTCTTAAAATTTCCCAAAGCTCTCCACTGCCACCAACAGCTCTGAACACCACATCTCAGTTTCAGCCAGTCCTGGAAAAAGGGTTGCACTTACCGGCAGAAGGACTCATGATTACTTCGCTTTAAGGAGCCTTCGATCCCAGGGACAATGCCAAGGTCTCTTTGTCACCCCCTAATGGTGAAGGGGGGTATCTCTTCTTCCCTCGACTCCCCAGGGAAAGTTCTGGGTACGTTCTCTGGGATTCCCTCTGTCGCCCCCAAGCGGCAGATACTTGAACATCTGCTCCTGACTTGACTGTCTCTCCTGGCACCATCAGCTGAGCCTTCCTTTGTCCCAGGGCTGCTTTTCTTGCTGGCAATCCAAGCCCCACTGAGACAGCTTTTTATAGGCAGCCAAGGATTTATCCCCATGTTTTGAAATTTCCAGCCCCCTCCCCTTCTGAGGTAAACACCTCCTACATAAAGGGACCATTAGTTTCCTGGTCTTTGCCCTAGCCTGACACTTGCTGTGGGTGGAGCAGAACTAAAGGAGGGCAAGAAGAGGTGTGGCTGATTGTGAAATGTTTAATTTCCTGTATAGAAAAGAGAGGAAAAGAGAGGAGAGGAGAAAAAAGAGGGGAAAGCATTGGGGTGGCTGTCAAACACACTGAAGGGATGTCATTTCTAAACGTTGGAGACTAATATCATCCAGCTGGTAAGTTCCACTAGTTATACTCTTCTCTGCCAGGCAAGTCTGGTGCCAGGGGTCGGATCATTTGGGCAAACGCCGAGGCCCAAGCGACCCGGATGGCCAGGCCCTGGCGTACACCTGCCTGCTAGGAAAGAGCAGAGGCTGCCACCGTCCCGTCTCCTGGCCTCCCCTTCTTAGCGAGGGCAGTGCAGTGCCTCTCTCCTCCTCCTCCTCCTCCTCCTCCTCGCCCACAACTGCCATCAGCCCCACGTAATTGTTTGGTGGCAGATTGGAAGAAGGGATAAGAGGAGGACGGGAGGGGTGCTAGGCGTGTGGCTGATCCGTCTCCACGCAGTGGCCAGAGATAAAGAAGAGGAAGGGAGGGCTCCTGAGGTGTGGCGGAGACATCGGAAGGGCGTGCGACAGGGAGCGGGCCAGGCTCTGCCCATCCCACCGTCTAGAGCAGGGCTGATTCTCTGCCTTTCTTCTCCTGTCCAGGCTCATATGACACATGCCTTTCTCGGAAGGGCAGTCTGGACCCCTTGCGCCTCTCTGACCGAGGACGTGAAGGGAGAACCTGACCTATTTAATATATTTCCCACGCTGCCCAGGGTGGCAAAGTTCTCTCTCCTCTCCCTTTCACCCATCCCAGGACAGCAGGCAGAAATCCAGCAGGTGATACTGCTTGTGTTGCACCTCCAGGCAAAGAAAACACAGGCCTGCGGGATTTCAGCCTGTCACGCAGCTCTAAAGAAAACAAGCCGTGCCTGAAACAGAGAGGTGTGGCCGGGGAGTGGGGGGGGGGGGAGATGGTGATCCAAGTTTCCATTCTTTATTTGCACCAGCTTGATTCCGTCTCTGCCCACCACGCTTCACAAACAAGCGCTCTACTCCACACTCTGACATGGCATTTTGTTGGCAAGGACGGTGCCGAAAACAAGTTGCTTTCCTCGATGGGGGGAAAACTTGGGCCTGTGTGTACATAAATGCAGATAAGGGCATTGCTGGAGCATGCAGGAAGGAATCCGTGGGGTGCCAGAGGTGGGAAATGGGGCAGTGGGGTGGGTGTTGGGGGGAGACAAATAACCCAGCCTCTGCCCCATGCCACCTGGCTGTTACAGGCCTCTCTGCACGTCTTGGCATCAGGTTACTGTTTGCAAAGAAACTGAAGGAGTAGAAGAAAGAGGAGCAGCGGATGAGAGACTGGGAAAAAGGCCAGGTCTACTGGGTCATGTTCCAGCTGAGAAAGGGGTGTGGTGGAATCGAGTGGGCAGCCCTGTTGGCCCCGTCCCTCCCGGCAGGGCAGCCCGATGCAAAGGGGGAGAAGGCTGCTGCCCATGGAACAGGTGCTTAGGAAGGGGGATTTCAGCAGGTGCGGCTTGCAATGCAACAGGGTTAGACAGGTGGGAAAAGTGCGCCCTGCAGGTGGGCGGGAATTTGTGGGGAGCAAAATAAAGGAAGGTTGGGCCTTCCTTTCCTTCTCCCACTCTGGGGACGGGGTTCCTATGCCTTCGGCAGCTGCGTGAGAGGCGAAAATTCGACACGGAGATGAGGCAGAACAGCGACAGCTCTTCTGTCCAAAGTCCACGAGCCCCCTCCTCTGTGATCGCGCCCCCTGCCCCATCCCCATCAGCAAAAGCACCCACAGGGCAGCTCCTTGTACGGAGAGGGGTCAGGAAGGGACGGGAGAGCCCTGCCCGAACTGATCTGCAGGAGTCCTCCATTCCCCATCCCCAAACTGGTGAGATTCAGCAGTGGACTCAGATCAATGAGTTAAGAGGCGGAAGCGGAATGCAGGAAGCGGCTGCACCCAGAGCCGGGGGGCCTATCGGTCCAGCATTGCCCACACAGGCTGGCAGGAGCAGCGCTTCCGGGTTCTGGGCAGGAATCTTTCCAGCCCTGCCTGGAGATGCCAAGGGTTGAACTTGGAACCTTCTGCATGCAGAGGTCAGGTTAGTCACAAGGTTTGCTGGGTTAGTCATGAGGTTTGCCTGCTGATTTGGGCCAGTCATAGGGAGACAGGAGGCAGCCTTAGGCTTGAATCAGCCCGTTGGTCTCTCCGGCCCGGCAGCCACTATCTCCCAGTCTAACCAGCTGTTAGAATGACTGAGTTCACATGACTCAACAACCCATTGTGAGTTCCAAGCCACAGAAGCTATTGTGTTGTGCGAACCCAGACCATGAGGAGAGTCATCTGTGGGTAATTAGCCACCCTGACAACTCGTGGCTCATCTGCAGCCAGGGTGGATCTGGAATTTTATTTGTATCATGTTTTATATTATTATTTTTATTTATTTATGTAAGCCGTCCTGAGGCTCTGCGAAAGGACAGCATATAAATATTCTAAACAAGCAAACAAACATCATGGCTGTCCTGTTTTTTCAGCCCAGGTAACTGACACCATTGTGGGTTCCAAGAACTGGGCAGCAACCCACTGAGCAAGAATTGCAAAGACTCTCAGCTGTTCTTGCAAAGGTCATTCTTGCTCTGGTCAGTGCTAGTCAGCCCACCAGTGCCCAAGAGGTACTTTGGGGTGACTGGCACTAGCTCTAGACCCCCTTCATGATGATGATGATGATGATGATGATGATGATGATGATAACATTTCTATGCCGCCCCTTGCCGAAGCCTCGGGGCGGCTTACAACACAATAAATTACATTGAAATACAATAGAACATAATAAATTACCATTAAATACAAAAATACAAAAAAATACACTGAGTTACGAACATAATAATATAAAATTAAAATTATCAGTATAAAATAATTATCAGTATGATTCCAAGCCCTTATGCATTTTGTGCCTTTCTTACCATTCCCCCCCCATTTCCAAATATTAAGAAAAGTGATCTGTTTGACAGCTACTGAAAGCACCATCAAAGTGCTCAAGGGGCACATTGGAATGGCTATCACGTGTACAACTCACTTTTAAAAAACCCCCAAAGTGTGCACCAGCACACTTTCACAGGTGCAAAGCAAGTACTGTTTTGCTTGCCCAATGTCCACACCCCTCGTTGGCATTGCTCATGACAGGCTACCAAACACTTTTCTAAACTTCAGTTTGTCTGGACAGCTGTCAAAAAGGGAGCTGTCAAGAGAAACCAAAGTCACACATGAAGTAAAATCAGAGGGACACTGGATCACCCTTTCCATGGCAAGAACTTTAAAATGTCCTTCCTTTTTATTTTCCTTTCCATTTTGGACCAGCTTCTCTGAAGGACCTTTCACTTTGCCACTTTTCCCCAAGATTCCAAGTGCTCAGTAAGGTGGGAAAGTGGGAGCCGCCCCCCCCCCCTTTTAAGGGAGCTATCAGTTGCATCAACTTTCTAGCTCCTTTATTTGGACAGTGCCCCCCGTGCTTCTTTCACAGGACCATATGCAGCAATGACTGAATCAGTTTAACTAAATGAAAAGAAAATGAAAAAAATGCACGACTGAGCCATTTTTTAAAAAACAGGAGGTGATAAACCAGTGACGAGCTCTCCAATATGCCTCTGGGGTACTTTGACAGGGCTGCCACTAGATGTCAAATTGGAGATCATTTTTCACACTTTCCAACAACAACAATAACAACGGAGGTAAATAGTGCAACATACATACCCTGCCCTCAGAAAAAGCCAAGAAGGGCTGGGATCTGAGTGGGAAGAGGGCAGGTAAGGCAGTCCTGCTGTGGGATCCCCCGAGTAAGGCAAGGCGGTGGGGGGAGAGGAGCAAAGAAGCCACAGCGAGCTTGATCGTGGTTCACCCAGCAACCAGCCCATCATGGCTAGTGGGTTGCTGTGATATGCAAACAGGAGCATTTTCGCAGGGACCAGCTGTAGCCACGTCCTGCAGTCATACAGCGGACTGGCCTGCGGAGTCACCTTTGCTAGCTGGAAAGGTGTGGCCAGCAGCTGGATGGGTGACCACAGGTGGAAGTGGGGTTGGACTAGATGGCCTTATAGGCCCCTTCCAACTTTATTTCTATTCTATCTGCACCTCTCTGAGGGCCAGATAAAGATACACGCCATGCTAATAAGGTGTCCTGTCACTGTGGAGTTTATGTATTTGATCTCTATCCCATCTTTTCACTAAGGAAGTAGCACTTGAGGCAGTGTCGGGTGGAACAGAGCTGAAAAGCTGATCCAAAATGAATCAGAATTTCCAAAATCAGCATTGACTTTCCCACATTTAAACATTTTTAAATTGGACTTTGAAGATTTGACTCTGTAGGATACATTAAAAAACCACTTGGAAGTTCAGCATTTGTAAGCCGGCATAGAAATGGAATGGAATGCAATAAATGACTAAATTCACTCTTGTGGAAGAATAACAATGCTCATAATGATCGACTGGATAAGTTTCTGCTCTCTCTCATACCTCTTCTCTGAACTTTATCCACACTTGGGAAGGTTTCGTCTGGGTGCAGGGGGACAGGAAATTAGAAGGGCTTAACCCCC